TATTGTTAGCTTCCGGTTTTAGCTGTATCCCTTGTTCACAAGTCTCAGTAAAGGCATTTATATAATGTTACAAAAGTTTCAAATAAATGCTGTTTTTTTAAACTTTCTATTCTGGGGTGAATTCTGAAAAATAAAATGCATCACGGTTTTCACAGAAATATTGTGCAGCACGACTGTTTTCAACATTGATAATAATCAGAAATGTTTCTTGAGCAGCAGATCAGCATATTATACAGATTTCTGAAGATCATGTGACACTGAAGACTGGAGGAATGATGCTGAAAATACAGCTGCGCATCACAGAAATACATGACAGTTTAACAGAGATTCACATAGAAAACAGCTATGTTAGATTCTAATAATATTTTACTATTTTTACAGTATTTCTGATCAAATAAATGCAGCCTTGCTGAGCAGAAAAGACAAAAACATTAACAAATCTTACCGACCCCAAACATCTGATGGCTAGTGTTTATGTGCAGGTTTATGACGTGCTGTGGGGTTTGACGTTAGCAGCTCAGATCTTTGTGCATTAAGCTGCAGGGATGTGTTCTCAGTGGTTTGTCTCTGGTTTGGTCCGGTCTTCAGCAGGGTGAGGTGGACTGCTGGCCTCTGTCCTGCCCGCCGGCGGACTGTGACTTCACACTGGTGCCCGAGGGCGAGTGCTGCCCACGCTGCGTCTCGGACCCGTGCCAGGCTCACGCCGTCCGCAACGACATCACCAAGACCTGCACGGACGAGCACGGCATCACGCGCTTCAGCGGCTCGTCCTGGGTCAAACACGGCACCGACTGCACACTGTGCCAGTGCAAGGTGATCACAACACACCAACACACACAGAGATCAACAAACACACAAACAATAAACAGGAAAACATACTTGACATGCAGACAAAGAACAACAAATGGGTAAGCAAAGATATGATTAAATTGGTTGATTTATTTGTTTGTTTATTTTCTGGGCAAATGTTCATATTGTGAAATTCATTATTTACATGTATTTATAAAATAATTTGTGCACAAAATAATAATAATACAAATAAATAATACCACCTTTAATTTTATTTTAATACATAATTAGCATACATTTATTTGTATACATAATTGTAATTCCCAGGCCTGGAAAAATCATTGAAATGATTAAAATCTTACAAATGCCAGTGCTGAATTCAGTTTAAAAAAAATCATAATAATAATAACAATAATACCTTTTAAAAATTATTTTTAAAAAAATACATAATTATTTACATTTTATTTATATCCATTATTTTAATTAGATCAGATCATTAAATTAGTCTAATTCATTGTGGTGATCAAATGCAATGCAATGCAATAAAATGCACTGGAGTAAAAGAAAAACAAATGTAATGCAAAATAATGCAATAAAATACAAAAAATGTCATGCAAAAAGGTTAAAAAAAAATGCAAAGCAATAAAATAAAATGCAAAAGGGGGGAAATCCAATGCAAAGCAAAAAAATCAAAATGCAATGCGAGTGCAATAAAATAAAAAATGCAATGCAATGCATTTTTTTTTATCCAGTGCAATAAATTAAAATGCAATGCAATCAAATTAAAAATGCAATAAAATAAATTAAATGAGATGCAACAAAATAAAATGCAATATTACAAAATGTTTATTTATTCAGTCCAATTTATCATGTAAATATATTTACACAATAAGTACATAATTATTGACATTTTATTTATATCCATTATTTTAATTAGATCAGATCATTAAATTAGTCTAATTCATTGTGGTGATCAAATGCATTGCAATGTAATAAAATGCAATAAAGTAAAAGAAAATAATGTAATGCAAAAATCAATGTAATAAAAAAAAGCAAAGCAAACCAAAGCAATAAAATAAAATAAAATGCAAAAATGGGGAAAATGCAATGCAAAGCAATAAAATAAAATGCAATAAAATCAAAAATGCAATGCAATGCATTTAAAAAAAAAAATCCAGTGCAATAAATTAAAATACAATGCAGTGCAATGCAATCAAATTAAAAATGCAATCAAATTAATTGCATCAAAAAAATGCAATATTACAAAATGTTTATTTATTCATTGTGTAAATATATTTACACAATAAATCACTGTTTGTCAAATACCCAAACAGTGATTTATTATGGTATATATATTCCTATAATTGTATTTCCAGTGTGTGATGTATTTTTCTCTCTCTCTCGGTCTCTTCTCCAGAACGGACACATCTGTTGCTCAGTGGATCCCATGTGTCTTTAGTCGCTGCGCTCGACGCTAACAGCACCTGTACAGTCTCACGCGACCGTCCCTCCACAGCCTTCCCCAAATAATGCCAAATATGAATCGTGTATAATATCAGACAGACGCCAGCGTACCTGAGGAGGCCATTTCTGCACAAACCAGGACTATAACCCCACCGACCACGCACACGCCGGCATGACCACACTGGATGTCTAAAGAATAAAACATTCATTCATTTTTATCTCTTCAACGATCACAGGATGTAGAAATTTTAGCTAGTGAGTAAATCTTATCGTATTTCTCTTTTGCCTGGTTATGGACGTCGACGCTATTTTGTTGGTGTTTTCACCGCACTTTTTTCGTGTCTGCTTTTCCGTCTAGATTTTAAATGATTAAATGGCTTGTTCTTGTCTGATGGTAAAATAAAATATCTCCATTTCCATTTATGGATGTGTTGACCTTTCATTTTCCCCAGCGGTGTGTTACGGTTCCCCAATATGTCGATTTAATTGTTTGAGCTTGTTTTTGTCTATTTGTGTGATCCTCTGATCACATGATTGACTAAAAACCAACAGATAGCCTGAACCAGGTTTCTTCTCCCAATGGGATTTGTTCTGTGCGTTAAGACAAGTCTGATTCTTTGTGGCGTTCAAATCAAATCAAACGCAATACAACACAAAGCAATAAAATGAAATACGATAAAAATTACTTAAAAAATAACCGTAATATACCTTTATATTATTGTTATTATTTAAATGTATATAATTTATTCAGTGCAATTTATTCAGTTTAACTATAATTTATTCAGTCTGATTCATTGTGGCATTCAAATGCAATGCAATAAAATATATAAAAATAAAATAAATAATAAATATAAAAAATATAAATAATCATAGTTATATTATTATAACTTTTTAAATGTATATTTAATTTATTACGTGTAATTTATTCAGTTTAATTATAATTCATTCAGTCTGATTCAATGTGGTAATAAAATGTAATGCAATGCAATAAAATCAAAGGAAATAAAATAAATATTACAACAATGAAAATGCCCATAACATACTTTTATATTATTATCATTTAATAAGCATTCAGATAAAATGCAACTAAATAAAATGCAATGCAATGGATTGCAATAAACTAAACTAAAATAACTGTAATATTCCTTATTATTGTTATTTTAATAATTTTTTTAAATGTATATCATTTATAACAGGCAGGCACTCAATTATATGATCAAATACACAAAATGTTCATGGAACATTTTTTTCTGAAATGTTTGTCTAATGTTACTACTTTTTCAGAATGTTCAGATAAATCAGAATGTTCTAATCACCTTCGTATAATGAAGAAAAAACGTGTTTAATGCATTTGAAGGGATAGTTCATCCAAAACGGAAAATTCTGTCATTAGTTACTCACCCTCATGACGGTGATGAATTTTCATTTTTGGGTGAACTATCCCTTATAATGGTTCCATAACTTAACGGGAATGTTAACAAAACGTTCTTAGTATGTATTTTTGTTAGTGGATAAAGTGTGCAATAATATAGTTTACATTTTGCAACAATAAACAACCTAAAGTTGTTGAGAGCAGTGCTATTCTGAGCATACTACTATTACTGCATCTACCAGATTAAGATATATTAATTCTATAGTATGTCGGAAGTAGTATGCAAGTATACTTTTGGAAATTTAGTCACTCAATTAGACTGAGGATGTTTGAATAACTAAATTAATTTTAATGACGGCAGATCCTCTTATTTTCAAAAGATCAGTGTTGTGTCTCATTAGGCTGCACTAAATATGATTATTCATTTTTATTAGAGGATAAAGATCCGCTGAAACAAAGATAAAAATGGTGCAAAAACAGGCATATGGCATGTTTTTTTTATTTAAAAGTTTTTAAATGTTACTTGTTTCGTAATGTTTAGAACGTTTCCGTAATGTTTGCAAAATGATGAAATGGAATGTTTTAAATATTTTTAAAAACTGGACGTTTAGATTACATTCAGAAATAATGTTTTCATAACAAGATGGGAATGTTTTTAAAACGTTCATTAGAATTTTTTTTTATTTGCAAATAAAGCTGTATACATATACTGTATATTCAACTATATAGAGTTCACTGTGTGATAATATAGTTATAGGTGTATGGCTTTGTGTGTGTGTGTGTGTGTGTGTGTGTGTGTGAGAGAGAGTGAGTGAGTGAGTGTGTGTGTGTGTGAGAGAGTGAGTGAGTGAGTGAGTGAGTGTGTGTGTGAGAGAGTGAGTGTGTGTGTGAGTGTGTGAGAGAGTGAGTGTGTGTGTGTGTGAGAGAGTGAGTGAGTGAGTGAGTGAGTGTGTGTGTGAGAGAGTGAGTGTGTGTGTGAGTGTGTGAGAGAGTGAGTGTGTGTGTGTGTGAGAGAGTGAGTGAGTGAGTGAGTGAGTGTGTGTGTGAGAGAGTGAGTGTGTGTGTGAGTGTGTGAGAGAGTGAGTGTGTGTGTGTGTGAGAGAGTGAGTGAGTGAGTGAGTGAGTGTGTGTGTGAGAGAGTGAGTGTGTGTGTGAGTGTGTGAGAGAGTGAGTGTGTGTGTGTGTGAGAGAGTGAGTGAGTGAGTGAGTGAGTGTGTGTGTGAGAGAGTGAGTGTGTGTGTGAGTGTGTGAGAGAGTGAGTGTGTGTGTGTGTGAGAGAGTGAGTGAGTGAGTGAGTGAGTGTGTGTGTGAGAGAGTGAGTGTGTGTGTGAGTGTGTGAGAGAGTGAGTGTGTGTGTGTGTGAGAGAGTGAGTGAGTGAGTGAGTGAGTGTGTGTGTGAGAGAGTGAGTGTGTGTGTGAGTGTGTGAGAGAGTGAGTGTGTGTGTGTGTGAGAGAGTGAGTGAGTGAGTGAGTGAGTGTGTGTGTGAGAGAGTGAGTGTGTGTGTGAGTGTGTGAGAGAGTGAGTGTGTGTGTGTGTGAGAGAGTGAGTGAGTGAGTGAGTGAGTGTGTGTGTGAGAGAGTGAGTGTGTGTGTGAGTGTGTGAGAGAGTGAGTGTGTGTGTGTGTGAGAGAGTGAGTGAGTGAGTGAGTGAGTGTGTGTGTGAGAGAGTGAGTGTGTGTGTGAGTGTGTGAGAGAGTGAGTGTGTGTGTGTGTGAGAGAGTGAGTGAGTGAGTGAGTGAGTGTGTGTGTGAGAGAGTGAGTGTGTGTGTGAGTGTGTGAGAGAGTGAGTGTGTGTGTGTGTGAGAGAGTGAGTGAGTGAGTGAGTGAGTGTGTGTGTGAGAGAGTGAGTGTGTGTGTGAGTGTGTGAGAGAGTGAGTGTGTGTGTGTGTGAGAGAGTGAGTGAGTGAGTGAGTGAGTGTGTGTGTGAGAGAGTGAGTGTGTGTGTGAGTGTGTGAGAGAGTGAGTGTGTGTGTGTGTGAGAGAGTGAGTGAGTGAGTGAGTGAGTGTGTGTGTGAGAGAGTGAGTGTGTGTGTGAGTGTGTGAGAGAGTGAGTGTGTGTGTGTGTGAGAGAGTGAGTGAGTGAGTGAGTGAGTGTGTGTGTGAGAGAGTGAGTGAGTGTGTGTGTGTGTGTGTGTGATGTTATCTGTTCTTGTTGTCTTAATTAAAGTCTTAATTAAAAATCATGTGTTAATAGATATTTAGGGGCACAACCTGAAGGAAAAGTCATTCTCATTTTATCAGAGATGTAAAAGGAGCTCCACAATGTTCATCATGAGAGAAAGATCAGATTCCTTGACCACTAACTAGTAAATAAAGGAAATAATAAAGCTAGAGGATGTATTACCTGCTTCTTTATGCACACAAACTGAAGTCATTAAATCTTATAAGTGTTATATAAGAAGCACTGGGTTGCAAATCCTCGTCCCACACGTACAGCAGGACCTGATCTTCACCCGCTTATATCACTCCTGGACTCCATCTTCAGGAGGTCAGAGGTCATCCGAGAGGTGGGCTGATGTATCTTCTGTCCTCCAGCAGGAAAACACTCAATGCTGCTCAAAACACAGAGAAATATTTTGTGCAACTCAACAAAAGTGTGGTGCAAATGAGACTGCGTAAATAGAGATTAAATATCACTTACCCAACCGTTTCACTGATATGAACATCAATTTTCAGTGTTTGTAGCTACTTTCTTCCTAATGAAACTGAGAGTTTGAATATGATTATTCAATTATGCTTTGCTAATCTGCCAAGAAAACAAGTCGGCTAATGCAGTTTTAATGCATGCTGATGCTGATAAAATGCTTTCAAATTTCAGTCATGTGACACGCAGTTCGATTCCTCCATCCAAACCTTTTTCCACAATGGATTACATTCATGTACTGCTTGTTTCTCTCTAAAGAGTCACATTTCTTGGCTGCAGCGTTTCCCTTTTGGCCCAGATCTGCTGATGGGGCCGATTCTCTGGGTTATGTGCTCAGCGTTTGGGACGGAGTCCAAAAAAACACTCCCCGTGCCTGCTGCGTTTGATCAAGAATTCATGCATGGAGTCGAGTTTGAGTCCACAACGCAATGCTGTGCGGCTCAGAGGAAGCGGATGCAGTTTAAAGGAGCGTTTCAGACCAAAATGCAATAAAGATTCATCATTTAATCACCCTTGCGTCGTTCCAAATCCATTTGACTTATTTTTTACTTCTGTGAAACATAATTAAAGAATATTATGGTTGCTCTTGTCCATGTAATGAAAGTCGAAGGAGCTTTTAAATGCCATTTTGGGTGAACTAATGATTTCATTTCAACAGAGCTGCACTGAGACACTAAAACAAACCTTTTCCATGTGCTAGATCGGGGTTTTGAATCTGGGGTCCAGGGAAAAGTTTATAGAAAACAGTCAAACAAATTAATTAATTAATTAAAAATCAAAATACATTTTTGATTAATAAAAACATTTGAGTAAAATAAATAAAAACTAGAATAAAAAAATTCTGATCAGCAAATAAATAAACACATAAATAAAAATAGAACAAAGTAAATGAGTAAATAAATACATAAAAACAGATTAAAATAAAAAGAGTAAAATAAGCAAAATACCAAGTAAATAAATAAATACATAGATTAAAATAAATAAAAATAGAATAAAATAAACAAATAAATATATACATGAAAAATAATAAAAATAGAATAAAATAGGCAAATAAATGGGTAAATACATACATAAAAATAGGATAAAATGAATACAAATTTTAATAAAGCAAATAAATGGGTAAGTAAATAAATACATACATGAATAAAATAATTATTAAAATGAATAAAATATAATATAAAACAAGCAAATACATATAAATAAATAAAAACATTAAAATAAATATAACTAG